ACCGATGGACCTACAACTACCGAAGAGCCTACTCCTACTGAAGAGCCTGTTTCTACTGAAGAAACTACTACCGATGAGCCTACCACCACCGAAGAGCTTACTACTACTGAAGAGCCCGCTCATACCGAAGAATCTACTACCGATGGGCCCACTACCACCGAGGAGCCTACTCCTACTGAAGAGCCTAGTTCTACCGAAGGATCTACTACCGATGGGCCTACTTCCACTGAAGAGCCTGCTTCTACCGAGGAACCTACTACCGATGGACCTACAACTACCGAAGAGCCTACTCCTACTGAAGAGCCTGTTTCTACTGAAGAAACTACTACCGATGAGCCTACCACCACCGAAGAGCTTACTACTACTGAAGAGCCTGCTCATAACGAAGAATCTACTACCGATGGGCCTACTTCTACCGTAGAGCCTGCTCCTACCGAAGAATCTACTACCGATGGGCCTACTTCCACTGAAGAGCCTGCTTCTACCGAGGAACCTACTACCGATGGGCCCACCACCACCGAAGAGCCTACTCCTACTGAAGAGCCTGCTTCTACCGAGGAACCTACTACCGATGGGCCCACCACCACCGAAGAGCCTACTCCTACTGAAGAGCCTGCTTCTACCGAAGAAACTACTGCCAATGGGCCTACTTCTGCCGTAGAGCCTGCTTCTACCGAAGGATCTACTACCGATGGGCTTACTACCACTGAAGAGCCTACTCCTACTGAAGAGCCTGCTTCTACCGAAGAATCTACTACCGATGGGCCTACTACCACCGAAGAGCCTACTCCTACTGAAGAGCCTGCTTCTACCGAAGAATCTACTACCGATGGGCCTACTACCACCGAAGAGCCTACTCCTACTGAAGAGGCTGCTTCTACCGAAAAATCTACTACCGATGGGTCCACTACCACCGAAGAGCCTACTTCTACTGCAGAGCCTGCTTCTACCGAAGAATCTACTACCGATGGGCCTACTTCCACCGTAGAGCCTGCTTCTACCGAAGGATCTACTACCGATGGGCCTACTTCTACCGAAGAGCCTACTCCTACTGAAGAGTCTGCTTCTACCGAAGAATCTTCTACCGATGGGCCTACTACCACCGAAGAGCCTACTCCTACCGAAGGATCTACTACCGATGGACCTACAACCACCGAAGAGCCTACTCCTAGTGAAGAGCCTGCTTCTACCGAAGGATCTACTACCGATGGACCTACAACCACCGAAGAGCCTACTCCTACCGAAGGATCTACTACCGATGGACCTACAACCACCGAAGTGCCTACTCCTAGTGAAGAGCCTGCTTCTACCGAAGGATCTACTACCGATGGACCTACAACCACCGAAGAGCCTACTCCTAGTGAAGACCCTGCTTCTACCGAAGGATCTACTACCAGTGGACCTACTACCACCGAAGAGCCTACTCCTACTGAAGAGCCTGCTTCTACCGAAGGATCTACTACCGATGGGCCTACTACCACCGAAGAGCCTACTCCTACTGAAGAGCCTGCTTCTACCGAAGAATCTACTACCGATGGGCCTACTACCACCGAAGAGCCTACTCCTACTGAAGAGCCTGCTTCTACCGAAAAATCTACTACCGATGGGCCTACTACCACCGAAGAGCCTACTCCTACTGAAGAGCCTGCTTCTACCGAAAAATCTACTACCGATGGGCCTACTACCACCGAAGAGCCTACTCCTACTGAAGAGCCTGCTTCTACCGAAAAATCTACTACCGATGGGCCTACTACCACCGAAGAGCCTACTCCTACTGAAGAGCCTGCTTCTACCGAAAAATCTACTACCGATGGGCCTACTACCACCGAAGAGCCTACTCCTACTGAAGAGCCTGCTTCTACCGAAAAATCTACTACCGATGGGCCTACTACCACCGAGGAGCCTACTCCTACTGATGAGCCTGCTTCTACCGAAGAATCTACTATCGACGGGCCTACTACCACCGAGGAGCCTACTCCTACTGAAGAGCCTGCTTCTACCGAAGTGTCTACTACCGACGGGCCTACTACTACCGAAGAGGCTACTACCAGTGAAGAACCAATAAGTAGTGTAGATCCTGGTACTACTGGAGGATCCATTACCAATGAAGGACCCAGCTCCACACCAGTACATAGCACTACTGAAGGACTTGTTACTAGCGATGAACCCAGCGTAACCAACACTACCACTGAGGATCCAATTTCAAGTTCAACTACACCGAAAGAACCAGAGCGTTTTCAATGCCCTTATGAAGGTTTCTTTCCGCGTGCTGATAGCTGCAACAGGTTCGACTACTGTACCAAGTACAGAGGAAAACTAAGGGACTTCGATCTTAAGTGCCCTAGAGGTCAAAAGTTCAATAAGGATACCTTATATTGTGATCCATCGATTGATTGTAACAAAAATGTCTCCCAAACGGAAATTCGGCACCCCAAGACATTCGAGTGTCATGTGGACGGCATTTTCCCACATAGGAGCGATTGTACTAAATACTACACTTGCACGTGGAACAGAAATCATCATACATATATGCAAACGCCCAGCGTTTGTCCACGTGGATTGGTCTACCGACTTGACATTCGAGCATGTGGCTACGAGGGGCTACTGACTTGTATATTCCGACCGGAAGGCTCCAAACATCACAAATCTTGGGGTGTGAATTCTTCCTAAACCATTGAACTGAGGCGAGATACTGCTAGTTATTTCACTGTACATAACCCACCAGTAGTGTATGTTAATTATAAATAAAATTGTTTAATTCATTAATTTAAGGTTTTGTATAATATTTATATATGTAAATATAAGGATTAGTGAAGAAGTTCTAAGGCAACAATTTCGAAAATAATGACTTTTTATTCTGAGTTGAGGAGAGGAAGAAGAAGAAACGTTCGAAATAGAACGGAAATCGTGGTTGTTGTTGTAATGGATTGGCTGGTGATGACGCGTTTTTAATATGCTATCAAATGCATAAAAAGTTTGCTGTGTAACAACTAATCGCAAAAGTACTTTAGATTAGAATTTTATCGGCTATTATATATTCAATAATAGCATTTGACAATTACCGCATGAACAATATATATGAAAATGATTATTCAAATGCAATCAACTAAAGTCTGAAAGACCATTACGAACCGTGTTGTCGACAAATACCTTATCTTGGGAATTGAATTCTGTCTTCTCTATGAAGTAATCATGGAATCATTGAAGACATAACACAACATTCAAAAAAAAAAACTCAAATATCAGAAGGTAAAACTTACTATTATCTTCCAAGGAGATAAACGGAATTGGTGCTTATTTATAAGTACATATCTCTGTGCGGTGGAATTTTGTAATCAATTAATTAATATTTTAGATAAAAATATATTAGCTACCACAATTTACTATAAAAGAATTAGCTTCTAGCACAATTCAAGTATTTACTTTTCATCGATTTAAAGTTTAGGACCAAAGTGGCGAATAGTGAAAAACGAATAGTAAATATTACAAATTAAAATATCGTTTTGATTTGAACAAAAGTGTGACGAAATGAAAATAATTTTCCTGGGATTAATTTTGGCATTAGCCATAGCCGATGCGGGACGTTTACTGAATCCTTGCAAGCAGCCTGGATTTTTCGCGCACGTTGATAATACATCTGCTTTTTATGGCTGCTATCTAAATGAAGATGGAAATTTGGATGTAAAATATTTGACATGCGCAACTGGTCACCTCTTCAAACGCACTGCCGGATATTGCGTGCCCAAAACTACTTTCGCAATTGAAGCAAGAGCCGTCACGGATAGTAATAACGATGTAGAAAATCCCACCGAACCGACTACTACGACAAAAGGTGATATCATAAAACCTACAATTCCCACAACCGCTGCTACTGGTAGCACTATTAACGGCAACACAAAAGTAGATAATAATGATGACGGTGAAACCACAGAGGGTTCCACTGAGGCTACAACAACTGTAGAAACAACAGAGGCTACTGAGCAACCGGAAACAACTGAAAACTCTACGGAAACTACTGAGGAACCTGCAACCACTGACGAAACCACAGTCGTCTCTACTGAAGAGCCTGCAACGACCGAAGAAACTACCGAGACTACTGACGAGCCCGCAACAACTGCGAGCACTACTGAGACAACTGAAGAACCAACCACAACTGCGAGCACTACTGAGGAACCAACAACAACTGATGAACCTACCACTACTGCAAGCTCTACTGAGACAACTGAAGAACCAACAACAACAGCTA